CCATTCTGGATGCCACTTGAAATAAGAAAAAATTTTATTTGAAAATGGGTACAAATTTTGATCATCGCTTACAAGAAAAATTTAAATGTAGAATATAAGACAATTTGACCAAAATTTCATACAGATATTCCACGTCTAAATCGGGATACAAAACCGAAAGTTATGGAATCTAGAAGTGCAGTTTTGGTCTCCCATTCAGGACCTCATGGCAATACTGAAAAATTTGACATGAAAATGAGTTAAAATTTTGACCATCCTTCAAAAGAAATATTTTAATATAGAAAGTAAGATAATTCAAGCACAAACTCATAGAGGTATCCCACGTCCAAACCGGGATACAATAACTAAAGTTATGGAATCTAGAAGTGCACTTTTGGTCTCCCATTCAGGACCCCATGGGAAGTACGGAAAAATTTGACTTGAAAATGTGTAGAAATTTTGACCATCCTTTAAACGAAAAATTGGAATACAGAAAGTAAGATAATTCAACCACAAACTCATAGAGGTATCCCTCGTCTAAATCGGGACACAATAACTAAAGTTATGGAATCCAGAAGTGCAGTTTTGGTCTCCCATTTAGGACCCCATGGGAAGTACGGAAAAATTTGACATGAAAATGGGTTGAAAATTTGACCATCTTTCAAACGAAAAATTGGAATACAGAAACTAAGATAATTCAAGCACAAACTCATAGTGGTATCCCACGTCCAAATCGGGATCCAATAACTAAAGTTATGGAATAGAGAAGTGTAGTTTTGGTCTCCCATTTAGGACCCCATGGGAAGTACGAAATAATTTGACATGAAAATGGGTTGAAATTTTGACCATCTTTCAAACGAAAAATTGGAATACAGAAAGTAAGATAATTTAAGCACAAACTCATGGAGGTATCCCACGTCCAAATCGGAATACAATAACTAAAGTTATGGAATCCATAAATGCAGTTTTGGTCTCCCATTCAGGACCCCATGGGAAGTACGTAAAAATTTGACATGAAAATGGGTTGAAATTTTGACCATCGTTTAAAAGAAAAAATTTAATATAGAATGTAAAATAATTCAAGCACAAACTCATAGAGGTATCCCACGTCCAAATCAGAATACAATAACTAAAGTTATGGAATGTAGAAGTGCAGTTTTGTCCTCCCATTCAGGACCCCATGGGAAGTACGGAAAAATTTGACATGAAAATGGGTTGAAATTTTGACCATCGTTTAAACGAAAAATTTGAATACAGAAAGTAAGATAATTCAAGCACAAACTCATAGTGGTATCCCACGTCCAAATCGGGATCCAATAACTAAAGTTATGGAATATAGAAGTGTAGTTTTGGTCTCCCATTTAGGACCCCATGGGAAGTACGAAATAATTTGACATGAAAATGGGTTGAAATTTTGACCATCTTTTAAACGAAAAATTGGAATACAGAAAGTAAGATAATTCAACCACAAACTCATAGAGGTATCCCACGTCCAAATCGGAATACAATAACTAAAGATATGGAATCCATAAGTGCAGTTTTGGTCTCCCATTCAGGACCCCATGGGAAGTACGGAAAAATTTGACTTGAAAATGTGTTGAAATTTTGACCATCCTTTAAACGAAAAATTGGAATACAGAAAGTAAGATAATTCAACCACAAACTCATAGAGGTATCCCTCGTCTAAATCGGGACACAATAACTAAAGTTATGGAATCCAGAAGTGCAGTTTTGGTCTCCCATTCGGGACCCCATGGGAAGTACGGAAAAATTTGACATGAAAATGGGTTGAAATTTTGACCATCTTTCAAACGAAAAATTGAAATACAGAAAGTAAGATAATTCAACCACAAACTCATAGAGGTATCCCTCGTCTAAATCGGGACACAATAACTAAAGTTATGGAATCCAGAAGTGCAGTTTTGGTCTCCCATTTAGGACCCCATGGTACGAAATAATTTGACATGAAAATGGGTTGAAATTTTGACAATCGTTTAAACGAAAAATTGGAATACAGAAAGTAAGATAATTCAAGCACAAACTCATAGAGGTATCCCACGTCCAAATCGGAATACAATAACTAAAGTTATGGAATGTTGAAGTGCAGTTTTGTCCTCCCATTCAGGACCCCATGGGAAGTACGGAAAAATTTGACATGAAAATGGGTTGAAATTTTGACCATCGTTTTAACGAAAAATTTTAATATAGAAAGTAAGATGATTCACGCACAAATTCATAAAGGTATCCCACGTCTAAATCGAGATATAATAACTAATGTTATGGATTCTAGAAGTGCAGTTTTGGTCTCTCATTCAGGACCCCATGGGAAGTACGGAAAAATTTGACATGAAAATGGGTTGAAATTTTGACCATCGTTTAAAAGAAAAATGTTAATATAGAAAGTAAGATAATTAAAGCACAAACTCATAGAGGTATCCCACGTCTAAATCGGGATACAATAACTAAAGTTATGGCATCTAGAAATGCAGTTTTTGTCAACCATTCAGGACCCCATAGGATATATGGAAAAAATTTGACATGAAAATGGGTTGAAATTTTGACCATCGTTTTAACGAAAAATTTTAATATAGAAAGTAAGATAATTAAAGCACAAACTCATAGAGGTATCCCACGTCTAAATCGGGATACAATAACTAAAGTTATGGAATCTAGAAGTGCAGTTTTGGTCACCTATTTAGGACCCCATGGGAAGTACGAAATAATTTGACATGAAAATGGTTTGAAATTTTTGAAAAAAAAAACCATGTAACTGCATATAAATATATAAAATCGGTTGGTAACGAATATTAAGTTCAAAGCACGGAAACTTTTTACAGGTGGAACTCGAAATGTATTATTAAATTATTAACTGTCGAAGTACCTTAAAAATGGTCTACCATTCTTCTACCGTGGTTAGGTACAGACACGAGCACCTTTCCCAGCACTGATTTTTAGGTGGAGGAGGGATTGTCAGAGGATAACTCACCCCATCATCACTTTAAATGTTGATTGTCGGTTTTGTGGCTTCGCTTTTTGGTCCGCCTCCATACTGCAGTGTACGCCAATGTTGCACTGTCGCTGTGTTGCATTGTTGCAAGGTTGCATGTTGCAAATGGTTAAAGTGTCGCGGGTGCTGGCAATTGAAAAGGTCGTCCCCAGCTAAAATCCCGACCAAAAACAACTGAAGCGGTAACAAGTGGGGCGTTTTGAGTTGGGTAATTGGACAACGAAACCATAACAGGGCACTCTGATTTTGCAGTTTAACGATTGCGCCGATTTCAGCTGAAAGCAAGAAAAATAGAATGTGTTAGAAAATCCATATCTTAAATATTTCAAATAGTTAACAATGAAAATAGCATATGAACTTAAGGACTAACAGAAACAGAAATAAACTACACTCAGGGAAAAACACCGTGCTAATTTTCAGTCAGAATTTGCAACACCATGAAGGAGAAGTTTCCGACCCCATAAAGTATATATATTCTTGATCATCAATAGACCAGTCGATCTAGTCTCTCAGTTTTAAAGCTACCAGGATGAAACTTTCCCAAAAGTCTTATTTCTATTGCAGGTAGTATATAAGTCGGAATGACCAAAAAAGAAATAGTTTTTTTGTTGTTTGGCATACTTCTACATAACTTCTATCCTTTGGAATATCGTTCTTTTAATGTTTCAGAACTCCGAATAAAATTGAACTCAAATCAGACGACTTCATCATATAGCGGCCATAGGAACGACGACAACGCTCTCACGGGGACGACCTGCAAGGGTATAGAAACTTCGGGGTGCCGAAGTTAGCTTCCTTTCTTGTTTACTTTAAAATAATGTATGCCGTTAATCGTTGCATACTTTTATGTACCCAAGTGGTTTCTGAAAGATTAGTATTTCGTACAGCAAATTGGGCTTTAACCCTGCAGCTGGATGACATCTAACTCCATCTGGAGCACTGAAAAGGGGTGACCGTGTGGGGTCAGCGGGGTATTTGGGGTCATTATTGATGGGCCTTCCCGCCAGAGCGGAACACAAAGGAGGAGCAGTCGAAACGGAAATACAGAAAACAACCCTCTGATAGGAGAGGATCTCCGACCAACCCAGTCCCAGTACCATTCCGTCCCTCTTTTTATTCTAGGGCTTATTTAATGCTTCAGTGCTGATGATGATGCACTGCCCCAGAAATAAAGGAAGAGCGGGAGCAGAAAAGGCGAGCGGAGCAAAGGGTCACGTATTTAAAAATGCACATAATTAAAATTTATGAGCGGGTCTTAAATAAAGACATAACCCACGAACCTCCCCTCCTCGATTTGCCGCAACAGGGGGCGAATGCAGAACAATCAAATTAAATACCTGTAAAGCGTGCAACGGAGTGGGGCAGTTCACTGAGCAGGGGTCTTGAACCGAACTGAACTCAAATGAAATAAAATTGTAATGGCAATTCGCCGGCGAAAAAATAAAACAAAATTAAAAGGAAAGAAAGGAAAAAACAGGGAGAGAAACCTGAAACGCTGCTATGAATAGAAAAGAAATAACTAATTTAACACTGCCACAATGGACGAAAAAGGACGGCTAGGTACATATATATTTCTTAACAAGTTTTTGGGAAGAACTTTTATATGAGAGTATACAAATTTTGTTACTTAACCCTTTCAATGGTCCCTTTACTTTAATCGACAGACTTGAATATCTATAAAGTATGTTCAAAACTCGGCTTCCCTTACTCCTCATGCTAATCATAACAAACAACATTAAACGTTTAATTTGAACATCCAATTTAAAAGGTTTTGGCATGCTGGAGAACCTGCCGCTTTGACCCACTGTACCGAGTCATCTTGACCATCCTCTTGACTCTCGGCCACCTCCAATTTTCCGGGACATCGCTGCACGCCGCACAAGGTCAAAGTAATTACAAGTAAACAAAGTTAGGGGAACGCCGAGGCTCTTGTTGTCCTCCGCCTGTCGGATGGCACGGAAAAGGCAGAAAAAGAAACGAAGGAGAAGAAAAACAGTTTGACCAAGGAAAACTCTGAACCAAATGGATGTGGACGGGAAACCTTATTAAGACGTGTATTAAGTGTCGGACAGCTGACAGCCGGAAGGAAAAAGCAAAAAACGAGAGGTGGCAGGTGGAAGGCGATGGTGGAGGATGGCTGTGGATGAAACACCTAGTTTGCGGACTGCTCATTGAGACTCTCTAGCCATAGTCGCTCCATCAGTCGCCTGCCTCGCCGGAGCTGCAAGCAGGATTGGACCAAGGATCGGAGGATCAGGTGATCCACGTTCTTCTGTTGCCGATATGCCTCCAATATCTCGCACCCTTTCTTCAGAGGAATCGGGCCTATAACCCTCCGGAATCGGTACGAATAGCAACAGCAAGGCCTGGCGATAAAACTCCACCTTGAGCTGATCCGCGGACTTCTTCTTTGGCTCCTGACGGTAAGTCTCGATATAGTGTATTTCCTTTTACTTTCTGTTATAGGCATACCTCTCGTTCCTTGACAAAGAAGCTCTTGAACCACTGCAAAACGGTCTCTATTGTGCTCGAGGCTTTATCTCTGGCCTTCACCTGTCTAATTTTTTTAGCCAAAATCATAGTGAACAAATTGATGAAGAAGTGCAGAAGGTAAATGGTGTCTCCTACTTTCCCCGAGACCAATTCAGACACCTTAATGGGCGGTTCCCAAGTTCCTCAGGGTTCTCCTCAGCAATCGGTAGTTCCGAAGCCAACCCAACCTGTCGGTTTTCGGGGCTGTCAGGTCAATGGAACCGGGAATAGGGCCTCCAGCAGGCGACACCAGACGATACCGCTGCGCAGATCCTTCAGAGAATGAAAGTCGCTCTCAATCAGGGCATTCACCCAGTTCATCAGAATGCTGGGATCCGTGGGCAGGCGTGCCGAACTCGGCACATGGTTCATTTCTGATGAGTGGAAGATGAAAGGTTTATATGGGAACTTCGAGGCACGAATGTATTTTATGTAATAACACTTAATCCTTACTTGTTTGTTTTCTATTGTTATGTTTTTCACAGGAGTTATTTATTTTTTTGAAGCTATCTAATACAAATAGACTTGAAATCACAGGAAAGCTAAATACCAGGCCTGCCTTTAACGAACTCCTTTATGTCAAACTCGAACTCGAAGCAATTAGTGATTGAGGTCCAATCAAGAAGGCGTAAGCCAAAAGCTGAGAGATGTAAGGACTCGCACTGCAAAGGAAAATAATCAGCGATGGAGGGGCAGTCTTCCATTTTGCGGCAGTGAAAAATCCGTGATCAATCGAAGAGGATTTCCCATTTTCCGTCCATTTCCCCCGCTTCTGTCATAAATAACTGGAGCTTTAAGCATTATAAACCGCATCTGCATTGGGACAATTTCGTCTGAGACCTGCCATTGCATTTCATTGCATTTTTAAGCCAGCGAAATCACTTAAATTTTCTACCTCCTTTTTTGGTTAATTTTTTATGGCTTTTTTGCCCGTTGTTCGTTGGCTCTCGGCAAAAATAAACTCCGAATGAATTTATGCATACGAGTGAGTTTTGCAGTGCGGAAATTTGTTGCAGTTGCCACTGCCGCAAGTTGAGCCATTTCCAGTGCCAGAGAAATGGAGATAAATGGAGAAAGGAGCGGGTGTAGGTGGCAGAAAAAGGGGAAAACGGCAAACAATGAATGCATTGAAAATTGAAAATCAATGAACTGTTATAATAACTTGCCGCAGAGTCAGAAGCGAACATCCCACACATATCTATCTGCGCACATATATATTCATATGTGGTGCTGCAAAGGCACTGAATGCATTACCAGCCAAAAGCAGGCTTCAACTGCAAAATATACACTGAACCAAATTAAAACAGACTATTTTTATTGCCATTTGGAATTTGAAACAGAAGGATCTAAACCTCGAGTAATAGAATTCAGATTTTGTAAATCACTCAGAGCTGCAAAAACACCGTTGTCGGCTACAATCGATTGCTTGATAGCTTTTCAGTCGATGCTTATCGAAAGTATAGACTTTTTATTATCGGGGATAACACAGAAATCTTTCAGAGTGGAAATTGTAAATATCTGGTAATACAGGCGCTACTACTGAACATAAAATCGAAATGATGGAAATGCAACCTATTGTTTTGTAGCTCTAACTTAAAGCAGAATTTAATATGTGAAATCGCCTTTAGCAACATTGTTTCCCGATTTTCTCCCTCTGTGAAATATCCTTTCCCTGAAAACCCGTGGAATTGAGGGCCTGCGCTCGAGCAACTCGTGCGTGCGGTTCTCTCTCTTCATTAAACATATGTAACGCGCTGGGTTAACAATTGGGAAGGAAGGCAAAAGGTGGAAGGATGTGGATGTGGACAACGACGAGGACCAGGACGGGGAGGAGTGGGTGAGGATCTGGGACAGCGTCAACTTCGAGTCGGATGCAGCGATTAAAAATTAAATGCCTTCGTATTAACAAACAAGCCGTCTGCCATTGCCGACATTCGTCGTTTCCATTTTGTTTTTTGGGGCAGGAACCAAAAACCAAAAAAAAGAGGGGAAAACAGAAATGAAAATGTGGAAAAAACTGAGCAGCCACACGGACAATGGCCGGGCGATGGCGATGGAGTTGGAAAATGATTCTGGAGGGCGCCGGAGAGTGGGGCTGGGAAATCCTTTGGTGCATGTAAAATGCATGAATCGCTGGGCGCCACGTGTGAAATTTATGCACATATGTTGACAGCATTTAAGGGGCAGGGCGACAGCAGGGAGAGCAGCTTGAGTGGTTCTACTTACGCTGCTCCCCGTTTTTTTTCCTTTTGGGGTTTCAACCGAAATTCTGGCCAAGATTTTTCTCCTCGAGTAGGTGAATATTTTTCAAAATTTTTTTATTCCATTTCCATTAAAGTGGTGAGCACGGAGGTCCTACGAGTCACGTCCTCTTTAAAATAAAACCAAAAATACATAAGAATAGTGACTGCCCATTAAAATGTGGATATTTAGTCGATTTAGCTAGAAATTTCAAGGCTTTTGCCATACTTCAGTCAACAACGTGGAGCCCCCTGAGATTATCACTCCAGCAATTAATTAGCCAACGTCATCCGATCACCCTGACCCAAAGGGCCTGCCAAGTGGTCGTCCATTGAACGATGACTGGACTTTTTGGTTCTCATTAGTCCGATCCTCCGCACAAATGGAGACTCATTGACAGCCATTCGATTGGTGGAACGCAAACAAACAGCCACAAAAGCCAAATAATAATGAATAATTAAGCAGTCGAGGACAGATGACTATGTGGGTCAATAGAAAATGTGGTCGGAATTTTCCTGCCCATTGGTGATTGCCATGGGTCCCCGGCTGTTTTCAGCTTTTTTCGAACCACTCTGAGGATGTGGGGATGGATGGAGGGATGGATGGATGTTGTCATCATCGTTTCCACTTAACAAGCATTTCATTAGCCTAATTCCGATGGCTCCTCGTATCTTGATTGTTTGGACAGTGGCGCAAGGAGCCTTATTCCCTGAATCCCCATTTTCCATCTCCCAACTCCCATCACCCCTGATTGATGTTTGCCGTTTGGGAGGAATATAGGGGGAATAAGTCTCCCCGCCCGTCACATGGGGCGTATGGGTGATATTATGGGTGATATTAGTGAAACCTCTTCGTCGGGGCCGCAAATGAGATCAATGTAATTTGCACATACTTTATGCGTTTATTGAACGTGACAAGGGCAGTGAAAAGCTACATCTTTAGAGGGGATATTGAGTTCGAAAAGATTTCCCTGTCTAACACATGAGTAATGTGTGGGTAAAGAACTGAATATGAGTTATTTCAATGGTCATGGATGTTACAGTGATGCGATGTCGCAAAAGTACAAGGATTATATATTCAACTTACCTCAATCCACTTTTTCTTCTCTGTTGTGCTGATTTCGCAATCGAAAACTGTTAGTCCATCGAAGTGGTAACAAGTGAGACCCGATTGCCTCAACTCTCACAGGGGACTTTTGGCTTTTCATCAGGCTCAATTAGCGGTAGCGATTTGCCCATCCAACAGTCGGCTAATTGGCCTCCCTCGGTCTTACCTTCTGGTATTCGTCGATATACTCTTACACTTATACACTTTATATGCAACTCTTCAAAAGTTCAGACTTTTAATTTGATTAATGAAATTTTCTTCACTTACTAAAAAGCTCAAAGTAAACTGCAACCAAAGACAACATTTTTTTTTTCAGAAATGCTTTTCTCAAATTGAATAAAAATATATCTTGTAAATATATTCAAGGGCATTCGGGGCTTCGGCTTCTCGAAAAAGCGTTTCACTTCGCCTTGTTGCCAATTGCAATCGCTTTGAATCAATCACGAACGATTGCCTGGAATCAGGTTTAGAAGTAAGTGGGGTTTTCCTCCTGCCGGCGGAGGCACCTGGCTGAAATCCCAGGTGGGAAAGATGCCCCCGGAGGATTCTTTGCATTCTGTTTTGCATTTCCTGTGGCAATGTCTGCGGTCATCTGTCCCTCCTGCATACAAATGTCCTTTCATTTAGTCCTCTCCCCCCCTGTTCCCCATTCATTACCCATTTTCCATTTTCCCGCTGCTGCAGCTGGCTCGCTTCCTTGTTCGCGCAAATAAAATGCAAACAATGCTTGTTTCATTTGCGTAATAAAATATTTATACAGGTATTTAGTTTGCCACAAAGCAGCAGCGAAAAATTAAGCGAGGCGCCACAAAAAAAAGGCCAGAAAAAAGAGAAAGGTGAAATGGGGGAGCACAGTTGGCCAAAATTCAAGCCGGGTTCCTTTAATGAGCCCCCACAAGGCTCTGTAAAAAAAAAACAAGAGTGAACGGAGAACAAAAAACGTCTAGACGCCATTTCTCAGTGGGGTTTGCCCACCGGTTTCCCCATTTCCCCATTTCTCCTTTTCTCCATTTCTCCCACCCCCTGGACTTGTTAGATAAATCTGCTCGCGTATTTTTCGCAGCGATTTGCCATAGCTCATACAGAGAGATAGATGGAGAAACAAAGGGAAACTGAAAGACCGGGAGAATAAGAGCCAGAGAAATTGCCTTCATTTATCATGTGGTGGGGCAGCCAACCAGATACCCTGTATTATCTGACAGAAAACACAGAGGTATGCTGCTTCGAAACAATTTAATCATTTACAAAAAATCGTAATCGCATAATGTGAGATAAGCAAATATCTTAAAGGGTGAAGTTAAGCAGAAAAAATAGTTGGTGTATCTCAAGTGGTAGGTATATTTTAGTCGAATCCCTGCCATCCTGCACCAAAGACAATTGGCAGCTGACACTCTGCGGTTGATTGGCTGCGGCTGACCACAGAAATTTGTGCACTGGCACCTCAGCCAAAGTTGGGCGACACACAAGTGCTATTATTTACCATTAGTTATTTGCCATAGATACATTCAAGGAGACCCGCACGAAATCAAGTGTGAGGCCTAAAAAATGTATCAAAATACTAAACTGCCCCATCAAAACATATGAAAATGTAATGCAATCGAAAAGCAAAGTTTTCAAAATGAAATATTCATGGGGCCTAAGTATTTTGAGAGCACATAATCCGCTTTAATTCAATCTCACCGGGTTTAATTTATTGTGAATCGCTTAAATTCTGCATCAATTAACGTGATTTTATTTTGCCATGACTTTCATGGGAAGTACTAAAGTACTAAAGTCCATCCCTGATTTAACTCCAATATCGTTGCATCGATTTGGGTCCGGCAATTTCCGGTCTGACTTCACCTTTTTTTATGCAACTTTTCAACCTCCCGAATCCCCTTGCAGCCGCACGCCCAATTTTTCTCCACAATTTTCCTTTTTAAGTTGCTCACGTTGCGGTTGCAACCGCGACGTGCTTTATCGCAGTCAGACGCTAATTAATCTGCAACGCCGGCTCATTGCATTGTTGTGGCTGCTGGATCTTCGTGACCCCCGACCCCCGCCGCTTAACCATCCTTAGCCCCGGAATCCCAAGAGATCTCACCCGTTTTGACACGATTTCTCGCCCAGCGAAACGGAAATTCTTTGGCCAAAAAGTGGGTTTTTACATAATTTGATGGGCGCTCGACTGGCTAAACGTAAA